GCAGCAAACTTAACTTGACCCTTGACAGAGAAGCTGATGTCACGCCTACGCCACAGGTGACGTAGGTTCGCAAAAGCTGCTCTGGCCTTCCCGGATGGAAAAGCACTTTACACTTTGCAGGTGTGAATCGCCTACCAAACCGTGAGGCAGGCTCAGCATACATCGAATGTCTTTTTGGCTGATCCGACAGCTGAAATGCCGAAAGTAGTGCACTTGCTGCACGATGAGAGAGCAGTGGGGTGGGATGGTTTTCCTGACGAGTTGTTCAAGTCTTGAAGACCGGTACAATGTGCAATATGGGAGATGCGCGCGCAACAGGTGTTGAAAGATTCAACACCAATTTCTCCGTATAAGGAGAGGAGACATTGGAAGGAGACTGGCAGTCAGACTCCTGTGCACCTTGGGTCCTGCTTCAAAGACCAACCGATACAGAATATTTCGACTCCTTCAGCCGGTAAGTACTCTGAGGTACGTTTGACAAATGTGGCTGCCCAAACACGTTCCGAGATGGAGTGGATGCCCCACCCTCGCAGGTCGGGTTTGTGGTAGAACGGACGAAATATCAAGGTGACACTGGCTCGATGGTCACGTGTTCAAGTCGACCACACATTGCTTCTTTTAGCGGACCATTTCGTTTCATTTTCACATACCATAAAATAGTCTTGTTAGCAGACAATGGCGTTTTGTTCTGGGTTTTGCTCAGACGAAAATGCTTTCAAAACCTATTTCTTATCAGTCCGCACAGAGGTTAATTGTTAGCAGACAATGGCGTTTTGTTCTGGGTTTTGCTCAGACGAAAATGTTTTCAAAACCTATTTCTTATCAGTCCGCATCAGAGGTTAAAAATAAAACATGGCGAACCCTGTTCATTGGTTGTCAGGCAACCCCATACATGGATTTGTTCGCTATTCTCCCATTGTCCACCGACTTGAACGTGAATCTGGGGCGTTCTGGCTCCATTGTCAGAAATACCTTACACGCTGAAGTTACAAGTGACTGTCGATCAATGGGAAATTGACCCGCTACCTTCGTACCACTTCATGTACTATTTAGTAGTGTGTAGACGAAAATCACTTGACTTCATCATCGAGGCGAGTGCAATCCCTGGCATACGTGGTGTCTGACATTGCCCCGGTCAAACTTTCGGCTATTTTTCTGCATTTCTTGGTTTCTGCAACAATCATGGAATCGCCAAATGACTCCGGGTTACAGCCTTGGTCACCTACGGAACTTTACCGTAGTTTAACTAAACGTAACCTATTAAATTCAAGGCTACTGAAAAATCTTTGGCAGCCAAAAAACCGGGTTCGCGACATCTCGAATATGGTGCCAAATGGAACGTGAAGCCTTCGTCAACAGATCATAGCACAGTTCCACAGTGGACATCGAGGGACAAGCCGAATGAAGGCCCGTGCTCGCAGCTATGTCTACTGGCCCGGTATAGATGAGCACATTGAGCAGTTATGTCGGAGTTGTTTCCGTTGCGCAGCTGCCCAGAAGTTACCCAACCGACAGTCACAGCCTTGGCCATGTGGACTTTGCCGGACCAATGAACGGACAAAGCCTCCTCATCGT